CAGAGCTAGAATACAGACAGGCACCACAATTAGTACGCACTGGTTCTTTGACATGCTCTGGGGAGTCCTTAGAGAAGCACCCCAGCTTTTTCTTGTACTGCTGAAGGCTGATGGCTGAACATGAACTCTAATTTCCCACACTGTAGAGACTCTTCCCTAATGGGAGTGTTGTAGAGAAGAGATGGGAGACAGTACCACACCTGGGTGTCCCTCAGACTCCTGCCTCCTTTCAGGTAAGATGGAGGGAGTAAGGGTATGGAGCTGGCCTGGGGCTCCTCAGAGTGGGAGAAACACAGTCCCTGAGTCCTGTTGCCCACCGCTGCTGTTTGACAAGTGGGGTTTGAACACTAAAGGGACACATGTAGGCTACCAGAGGTTACCCTTTTCTTTGCATCACCTCCTACGCTGGTGGAGAGCCGTGAGAAGCACATCTTATCATTTTCAGCTGTTCTTTCCAAATTGGTCCTGCTGCGGGACGATGCCATAGTTTAACTTCCCGTCTTTATCTGAATTTCCCCATCACCCAACTTGTACTGAAGCCAGAGGGGATTCCAGTAAAATCGCAGCTTCTTTCCCTACATATTTTCAGGATAAACCTTATTCCAATTCTTGAGGTTGAACAGTCGTAGAATCCCAAGGGACAGGCTTAAGAGAAAGCGACAAGTGTCAGGGCCTCTGAAGAGAGGCATTCCTCTTGTCCTCCAAGTCCTCAAGGACGTCTGATGGATTAGAGCTGTCATCCATCATTTGTTACCCAGGCATCCCAAGGCGGACCTAACTAAGAGTAGCCACAGAAGGCTCAGAGAATCTGGTTTGGGTCTGAACCCATTGCTCACATTGTCTCTCTCAGAGCTGAGTCCTGTGGACTTGCCCCTGCTGTGCCGTCTCTGAGATGATTTCTTTTATCTTGGTGAATTAATTTAATTCTCCCAAGAAGGGGGATAGGAACCAATAAAATTCTCGAGCTATTGGGCTGCTATATCAGGGAAGAGACTGAGTTTTATGAATAGCTTTGCCCTTTTTATTTGGTTTTAAATTGCCACCTCCTTTGAACCTCATACTCGGGAGACTGTCTAATCACTTGGGAAATTATCCCCATATCGTGGGGATGGAACTAACTGTAGTAAAGGGACACAGAGAAGGGCAAGTAGGTTAGCGAAAAGTCCCCTGGGGGGTCAGCATGTGAAGTCAGCTGGCTTTAGGACCCTGAAGGAGACAGAGTCAGTGCAGGTCTCTGAGGGAATTATCTCTGTGGGAGCCACTGCTGTACCCTGTCCATGGGAGAATTATCTCTGTGTGATAAGAGTTTGGCAGGAGTCATTGCAGTGTCCTGTCCATATCCCTACCTGCCATTCCTGTCACCATTCCCTTGGTGGGTGCTGGGGACGGCCCAAGGATGGGGGAATAAAAGTGGATGACAGAAAGTGAGACTGTGGCATTTTCTTTATTAGCAGCAGCATGGCTGCCTGTATCTGGTCATCCACTGGTCAGTGGTCACCGCCATGTATTTCCCAGGTTCAGCCCATTTGAAGTACCACTCCACTACCGGTCGATGCAGTGTGTCAGTGTGTGTGTCGTTGACTTACTTACATCCCAGGAGGTTGAAAGAGGAGGACCAAGCACATCGTTGGCCCTTGGCCATATGGGCTGTGGAAAAAAGACAGGAAGGGAGAGGCACCCCTATTCTACCTTCTGTGGGAGCTTGCCCACCTTCAAGTGCTCTAGGCTAAATGAAAGGGGAGAGCAAAGAAGGAAGGCAGAAATAAGAAATAGCACAGAAATTACCTCCTGGACGGCTTGCCAGCTGTTTCAGGTGTAGATCTGAGTCCAGGGTGTACCTGCTGAGATTTCCGGGCTCTTGCATCCCAGAACAATAAACTGGACCAGGGACACATAGTCTTAGAAATAGTTGGTTTATCAAGAAAGGAAAAAGACCCTCCTTTGGGTGGAAAGACAGATGCTCAAAGGTTCAGTGCCATGCGAGTTCTGACCCTTTCTAGGGTATTTACATAGCATCCATCTTTGTATTTAACATCTCGGGCATTTTCCAAGCATGCTATGTTTGTTACATACGGCCAGAATGATGCTTCTGGCTGTGTCAAATGGACAATGATCCACATGAGTTTGGACCCCTGTCCTTTCTCTGTCTGTGTGTCTGTCTCTTTCTCATACACACAACCACACCAAACCACCACCACCCAAAGTGGGGGTAGACCTTAATGCAATAGCTAAATTTATAATTGAAAATCTTAGATAAATCTAATTTTGGTAATACTGACATTGCCTGTGTGACTGATTCTTAGACACACCACTGAAAATATACGCAATCGAAGAAATAGACTTCATCAAAATTAAAAACCTTTATGTTTTAAAGGATATAACAAAAAAGTAGAAAGACGGCCCTATGGTTAAAGAATTGTTTTATAAATGATTTGTTGGATACTCCCCTGCCCCCAGTGGAGTGGGGACATTGCCACTTGGCAGTCTGGGCAGGGAATGCAACCTGACAGACTAGAGCTCCCTTTCTGATGAGAAGCTATAATCCAGAATATGTAAATTATATAATTCAACAATAAAAAGACAAATATTCAATTTAAAAGTGGCACAGGGGCTGGCAAGATGGCTCTGTGGGTAAAGGTGATTGCCACCAAACCTGACAACCTGAGCTCCCATGTGGGTGACTCCATAACCCACATGGTGAAAGGAGAGAATCGATTCTTCAAGCTGTCCTCTGATCTCCACACTTGCGCTGTGGCACACATGTGTGCCCCCATAAAATATATTAATTTTTTAATTAGTAAAGGGTTTGAATAGACATTTCCCTAAAGAAAAATGATCAAATAAACGGCTGATAAGTGGTGAACAGCTGCCCAGCCCATCAGACAGTAGAGAAATGCAGATCAGAACCACAGAGAGGCATCTCTTCCACCCTCACGAACACTGTGACGAGGGAAAGCTTGAGATCTAGTGACATTTTCCTCCTAAGTATAGCCAAGGTAAGCAAAAACATATAGATAATCATAATAATTCATGATTGTAGCCCCAAAGCAGAAATAGCCCAAATGTCCATAAATTGATGCATGGATAAATAAAAATGTGTTATTTATATAGTGGAATATAATTTTTATTTCTAAGAAGCAATAAAGAACTGACACAGGCCAGGTGGTGGTGGTGGTGGTGGCGGCCAGGTGGTGGTGGTGGTGGCGGCCAGGTGGTGGTGGTGGTGGTGGCCAGGTGGTGGTGGTGGCGGCGGCGATGGCGCACGCCTTTAATCCCAGCACTCAGAGATCCGCCTGCCTCTGCCTCCTGTGAGATCAAGGCCAGCCTGGTCTACACAGTGAGTTCCAGGACAGCTAGGGCTACACAGGGAAACCCTGCTTCAAAAAACCAACCAACCAATCAACCAAACAAAAACCCACAGAACTGACATAGGCTACAGTATGGAAGAAGCTTAATACACTAAAGGAAAGGAGTCAGCCACAAGCAGACGTGCCAGTGCACACCTATAATTCCAGCACCTGGGAGACTGAGGCGTCAGGATTGTGAGTTCAAGACCAGCCTATACTGTATAGTCAGATCTGGTCTCAAAGGCAAACAAGGCAGATATCAAGAATGTGTATCTTAGAAATGTGTGCCCATGACACAGGAGAAGCTAATGTCAACACAGCACAGCCCCTGTCCTGTAGGGACATGAGTTGAAGAGGCGCACACCCCTTTGAGCAGCAGAGCAGTGTGAGAGAGGGCATAGAGGGTAGGGTAGAGTTTGGAAGCTTGTGAGAGCATAGCTTTAAATGAAGACCACAGTTTATGTGCATCTTGTTATAGATGTGTATGTATAGATATGTGGTTATAGTTACAATATATACATAGTATATATAGCAATATATGCATGTATAATTATATATGTATATCTGGTTATATATCCATATGTACTATATATACACGTGTGTGTGCACATGTGCGTGTGTGTGCAGTGCTGGGTACAGAACCTAGGCAAGCACTACCATTTGTTTATACCCCAGCCGCATAGCAGTGGAAACGCTATCACTAATGGAATAAAAAGATCATAGTACTACTATGTACATTAGGATACTATTTAGCCACTTAGTGATGACGACAAAATGTAAAGGAAAAGTATAAGCAAGAGTGCCAACTTATGCATGGTATAGTCTAGACATAAGACAGAATGAATACTGGTCTGAAGTGTGCCAAGTACCTTTGTTCTTTGGCTGGTAGGATCATGCCGTCGTGTCCCCTTCCCTGTCCCCCGGGATGTCTCTGCTTCTGTCTTCCTTCCTATCTCCTTGGGTTTTCCTATCTCCAGGGGATGCCACCTCTTTGCTCTAGGGCCGCTGGAAGGGGCAGGGCTAGAGATGTGGATCTGAGAAGGTAGGAAAGATTTTGTGCAAGTGCCGGAGGCCAGCACAGACAGCCAAGGCTCCGCGTGTCCTTGTGTCATGGAGACAGGCAGAGTGCAGGTCAAGCCATTCTGTGAAGTCAGGGAGCACAGAGGCTGAAGCCGACTTCAGTGACCCCAGAGCCTTGCTCCTTCCAAGAGCTGTGGGAGGTTAGATGCAAATTCCCACATTCCCAGATGTGTATGACACAGGAAAGCAGTCTCTAGGTTTTGGAGCCAGGCAGAGTCTCTCAGGCTGGAGTGGCCTCAGGATTGTTTATCTCTTTGAGTCCGTTTTCCCAGCTGTTAATCAAGAAGAATGTAACAAACAAAACCAAAGCACAACAACAACAAAAAAACTTCCCCTCAGATTGTTGTTTGGATTTGGTAGCTCACATGCAGTAGGTCCCTGTCAGGGCCCTGAGCATGCCTGTACTGCGTCACTGAGGGCTGTTGTCTCTACACACTGCACCTTTGTGTTGCAGAGGGAGAAATGGGCCATAGTTGTTAGCTTGAAAATGTCTCCTGGTCCTTAGGACAGGAGCTGTTTACCCGGATGTTTACCCTGCAACTTCTCTCACCCCCAGCTGTCTCCTCTGCCACCATGAGAAACATCTTCAAGAGGAACCAGGAGCCCATCGTGGCCCCTGCCACCACCACTGCCACCATGCCTGTCAGACCTGCCGACAACTCCACAGAGAGTACAGGCACCGGAGAGAGCCAAGAAGACATGTTCGCCAAGCTGAAGGACAAATTCTTCAATGAGATCAACAAGATCCCCTGTGAGTGGTCCTTGTGGTCTGTGGCATGGCTGGGCCTTAGGAGCGGGGTGCGGCTGGGCTGGGTTGGGCTGGGCTGGGCTCTTTCCTTGGGTCCCAGCTTGGATTTTTCAGGGAACCCTATCAGGCATGGGCTGAGAGTATGGTCTGAAATTAATGAGGACTTATCTCATGGGCCAAGCTTTAGTGGGTGAGTTCAACTCTAAGGACAACTTTAAAATCTCGCCAAAGGATAAAAATGAAAGGTGAAAAAAATATGAGATAGGAACCATTATTTAGGTTTCCGGTAGCATTTAGAAACTGCTTTGTTTTGGAGTGTGGAAAAGGAGGCTTTCTGAACCCCTGGCAAAGGCTCTCCATGAGGAACTAGGGTCCCTTCTGTAGATTCAGCAAACTGGTGGGAACCAGGGCTTCAGAACATCGGAGCGCATCATGGTGGGTGGTGGTAAGGGCTCCCAGCCCCTCTGGCTAGGAGAGCTAGAGCTCAGGAAACTTCTCTGCCTCCAAGGACTGTCCCAGGACCAGGCTCCACAAGACTTTCTTTCTTCCCTTGGCTGTGATGAGGTTAGCCAGTTGTGCAAAGATCAAGTAACTGAAACGCTGGAGCCAGCCCAAACTGCTCTCCTTCCTCAGATCCTCCAGGCTGCTAACCCGACAGGGCTGTGCCCACAAGGGGGCAGCTAAGAGCGAGGTATTCATACACCTCATGGATGTGTGGATAAAAATGTGGGGATTGAGAATGGGGCAGTCACAGTTCCAAGCCACATTTGTCCTGCTTGGGATGAGGGCTTGTGAGGCGCAGTGTGTTGACGCTGGGGCTCTGTATGTGAGCAGTGCCACCCTGGGCTCTGATCGCCATGGCTGTGGTTGCCGGTCTCCTGTTGCTCACCTGCTGTGTCTGCATCTGCAAGAAGTGTTGCTGCAAGAAGAAAAAAAACAAGAAGGAGAAGGGCAAGGGCATGAAGAATGCCATGAACATGAAGGACATGAAAGGGGGACAGGTAGGACGCTGGGGAGGGGCTGGGAGGGGCCCTGCCCAGCTTTTCTGGGGCTGAGAGGTGAAACGACGGTTTCTGGGCTTCCACAGTCAAACTGCTCCCCCACCCTTTGTATGAGCTCTTTGTCCCATGTGGGCACACACTCTTCACACAGGCCACGCTGGTTGCACCAATAGTATCAGGTCAGTCACCTCAAGCTGGACGGCAGGGACTTAAGGCCATGTTAGCATGAGCTAGCTCACCCTTCAAAAGGCAAAAGAAAAGGAACAATGTATGGACTCCCAAGGAGGCCACCAGAGCTAAGTGCTACACACTCATGATGACTACCAGGAAGATGCCATTAGGTACCATCAAATTTTCCTGCCAGGAGAGACGGAAGGACAGATACAGCTGGCTTGGGATCGGGGCTCAGAGGAGGGGGGTGGTAGGTTTGAAGGGACCAAGACAGGACCACATAGAATCCATCGCTCTTACAACGATGTGTTGACCCCAGCCTGTTGGTGCTGGTTTCCTGAGGTCCCTTGGCATATCAGTTCCTCTTAAGTTTAGAGTCAGGTGCTTCACAGTCCGCTTTTGTTTGGGGAACGTCTGGGAAGAGTCTTTTCTCAAGGCATTGTAATGAAGGCTGGAAGGAGGGACTGACCTCAAAAGGCAGCCAAAAGTCATGATGACCTTGAGTGACCCTGTGTCTGTGGGCCTCGGCGGGCCTCAAAGGAGCCTACAGTGTGTGTGTGTGTGTGTGTGTGTGTGTGTGTGTGTGTGTGTGTGTGTGTGTGTGTGTGTCCATGCATGGTGTGTATGTATGCACATCTCTGTGCTCCTGTGTATATGCATGCCTGTGTGTGTGTGCAAGCATGTGTGTGTGCAACCCAAACTGATTTCACCAAGCAGGGCTGGCTTCAGCTGAAGGGTTTGCTCTTATATCGCTTCTTTCTCTTTCTGCTTCTCTGGATTGGCCCTGCTCCTGGCTGCCTGAACTGCAATCCTGGTATGTCTCATCCAGGGTGGGTAAATCTAAGCAAAGGGCTGATAGGATTTTAGAAGGGGAGTGATTCCCTGTAAACAGAGTTTCTTTCCCGCCTGGTCCTGCTGCCGTTTAGCCCCAAATAAACACACAGACTTACATTAATTATAAACTGTTTGGCCGATGGCTTAGGCTTCTTGTTGGCTACTGGCAAACAGGGATTTAGTCATCAACCAATAAGAGAAACATCTATACAGAACGACATCCCCATCAATTCCCCCTGTCTCAAGAAGCTATCTGGCCTGTGGCAGGGTGCCTGACCCCACAGGGCAGAGAGATTCTTGCCCAAGCCAAAGTCCTGCCTTCCAAGTGTGATGCCGGGTGTCTGCCCTGGGGTCTTGAGGAGCTGGAGGTGGGGCAAGCCCCTGCACATGCCTCTCCCATCCCACATGCTGGTTTCTATGGTCTCCCTGTGGGCAATGCAGGCCCAAGCTCTTCCTGAAGCATCCCCCGGAAGGGCTCTGAATCGGGGTTTGGGCACTCTGTGTCTTTGTGAAGGATGGCTGCCACCTTCTCCTTTAAACCTCTTTTTCCCACTCACAGGTCTCCTAGGATGATGATGATGCAGAGACAGGCCTGACTGAAGGAGAAGGTGAAGGCGAGGAAGAGAAGGAGCCAGAGAACCTGGGCAAATTGCAGTTTTCTCTGGACTATGATTTCCAAGCCAACCAGGTGTGTAGGGCTGGGCAAGGAGGACAGGGTGTGGGCAGAAGTGTGTCCCTAGAGACAGGTAGACCTTGCCTCTTTCCATGGAGTGGGACAGTTTGAAGCCAAGGGGCATATATAGTCTTTGGTTTTGACCGTCAGTCTCCTCTGAAGTTCCAGGGGAACTCTTCTATTAACTTACTTGCTGAGCTTGGCCTGGCCCCCCTTCCCAGATTCCCTTTCCCGTAGGGATGGGAGGTCAGCAGCAGGAGACCCCTCTGGGGCTAGATGAGCAGTCCAGAGACTGAGACAACCTTTCTCCACAGCTCACCGTGGGTGTCCTGCAAGCTGCTGAACTCCCTGCCCTGGACATGGGTGGCACTTCAGACCCGTATGTCAAAGTCTTCCTCCTCCCAGACAAGAAGAAGAAATATGAGACCAAGGTGCACCGGAAGACACTGAACCCTGCCTTCAACGAGACCTTCACTTTCAAGGTGATGGAAGCCAGAAGGAGGACTCTGGCTCCCCCTCTGTCCCTGTGTTCTGCACACCTTTCCCTGGTCCACAGCCATGGCTGGAGCCTGGGACATGCTCAGTATGGCACAGTAGCAGGCTGCAGTAGCTTCCCCCATCTCACACGCCAGTTTCCACCGTCTGCCTGGTCCCTCTGGGCAATACAGGCCCAAGTGCGGGGCTCTTCCCACAGCGTCCCCCCAGAAGTGCTCAAGCTACTTTGTCCCCTCTTGACCCTGTGCCCTACAGGTGCCATACCAGGAATTAGGAGGCAAAACCCTGGTGATGGCCATCTATGACTTTGATCGATTCTCTAAGCATGACATTATTGGAGAGGTGAAGGTGCCCATGAACACCGTGGACCTTGGCCAGCCCATTGAAGAGTGGAGAGACCTACAAGGCGGGGAGAAAGAAGAGGTAAGAGTGGAGAGGCCGGGCCTCTCAGTGCTCAAGTGGGCTTGCCCGTCCACGGGGCTGTTCCCAAGAGCCGAGGTTTGGAGTCAGGTCTGCTGGGCTAAGTGTCCGGCTCCCCACTGCCTGGCTGTTGACCCAGGGCAAGCTGATGCTGCTATTATTCTCTTGTTTTTGTTCTTCTTCATTTTCCTCCTTCTCCTCTTTTCTTTTCTTTCTCAAGACAGGGTTTCTCTGTGCAGCCCTTGGCTATTCCAGAACTTGCTCTGTAGACCAGGCTGGCCTTGAACTCATAGAGATCCGCCTGCCTCTGCCTCCGGAGTGCTAGGATTAAAGGTGTGTGTGCCACCACTGCTGGACCCAAAGGGGAAGCTTCTTGAACTGTGGCCTTGGTTTCTTCATTTAGAGGTTTCCAGATGGACATGAACTGCCCATGCAAACTGCCTTGTCTGGTGTCTTGTCAAGCAAGCCACGGAATAAGGATGCCATTATTGTTGTTCCTTCTGAGGTCCCACTGTCAATCAGATTCTAGGCCGCAGTTTACCCACAAGGAAAGCCAGCCTTGATTCTATGGGATTCTCAGCGTGTGGCTTGTCTTCCCAGCAACTGCTACAGCAGTCAACCCCTCATTTACTGTGTGCCAGAACTCCCAATCCAGCTACCTTGCCAGGACCAGTTGTATGTTTCAGCCAGGCCCCTGAAGCTGCCTGCACAGTGCTCAGTGGAGGGGGAGGGATGAAGGCACTGGGCTGCCTTCTGTAGCTGGGGCCTGCCAGTTGTCAGTGATGAAGGCCTACACACCTGAAGGAAGACGTGTGTGATTGGTCGGTCTTATCCTTTCTCTGGTGCCCCATCCCTGGGGACTGGCAGAGGCCTTAGGTCAGGAGTCCCCAGACCTCTGCTGCCCAGTGCTACACTGCTGTCTGACTGAAGAAAAGTCCCCCTGACAACCTGGATTTCTTGCTGGTTACAAAGCACCCTTGCTCTGTCCACATAAAAGGTTTAAGTGACAATAATAAAAGAAAAGGAAAGTGCTTTGAAACCCACACATCACCCTGCAAGCCCAGTGGCTGATGGGAAAGGATGGCAGCAGGCAGGAGCCATCAGGGAAGAAGCTCCCCAAGACGCTTGGTCTCCCAGCACCTTTTCCTTGTGCTTTCTCACCCCAGCTTGGTGGGGATCTGAGCCTACCCTGTATTTGCTAGGGTGCCAGGTCCCTCCTCTATAGCCTGTCCTCTGTTTCCTTGAACATCAGCTTCCTCAGGTGGTGGCTGGGAACTGAGGTGTGAGGTACTGGTGTCAAAAGCCGAAGATCTCCTCAGCTACAGATGTGGGGGCCGATGACTAAGGGAGGAGGCCAGAAATCACTGCTTTGCAAGACTTGGCAAGATGGAGTGAGACACGGTAGAGACCGAGGTGGTAGCTGAGGTAACCTAAGCCCTGCTTCTTTCCCTGGACAGCCAGAGAAACTGGGTGACATCTGTACCTCCTTGCGCTACGTGCCCACTGCTGGGAAGCTCACAGTCTGTATCCTGGAGGCCAAGAACCTCAAGAAGATGGATGTGGGGGGCCTTTCAGGTAACGCTGAACCCCTGGGTGCTAGGGTGTGGCCCCAGGGAGCTGACAATAGAGAGCGTCTCGCTTGTTGTGGGGCACAGGCTTCCCAGTCTCATCTTTCTTCCCAGCTGCCTGTCCATATCTGAGTCCCTCCCCATTGCCTCCTGGCCATGCCCCATGGGCCATGGAGAAGACAGAAGAGGAATGTCATTCTCCACATGAGCTAATGGCATAGGACTTTTCTCAGGAAGTGTGGTTAGTGGCAGGGTTTAGCCCAAAGTCTACCTTTCTGCCATGCCACAAGAGTAGGGGATATTTTTCCAGGAGAGGCTATAGGCACTGCCAGATCTGTTCTGGAAGAGAATGCTCTGACAGCGAAGAGAGCTAGCCTGTGCCACAGGATGCTGACGGTAAAGTCTACTGCCTCTGCAGAGCCTCCTCAGACAATGAGCCTTGTAGCTGGGCTTTGGCTGTGTCACTGACCCAGGATGTGACCTTGGGCTGGTCATTTCCCTTCTTTGCCCTCAGATTCTCATCGGCAAGATTAGGACAGCTGGGGGCAGGACTTGGCTGAAATGTGCTTTGCCATTAGCTCTTTGCTGTCTCCTGCCTAGCCCAGGCACCCGGCCAGTTAGTCCCACATTTCCTCATAAGGCCTTTCTTAAGCTCAGAAGTCCCCCCGACTTCATGTGTTAGGAATCTGTAAGTAAACAGGGGTGGTCCTTAACACGTTCCCACCCTTGACCTTCATGATTTTTCTGCTTTTGGAACTTCCTGCCCCTTCTCTGGGCTTTCCAAGGGCCAGGTGCCTGTATGGTGGAGGTCTGCCCGATCCTGAAGGGGCCTTGTGACATCGGAAGGTGGTCAGTGCTGAGGTGCCTCTTGGGTTGGGACTCTCTCTACAGACCCCTATGTGAAGATCCACCTGATGCAGAATGGCAAGAGACTCAAGAAGAAGAAGACAACAGTGAAGAAGAAGACCCTGAACCCCTACTTCAATGAGTCCTTCAGCTTTGAGATCCCCTTTGAGCAGATTCAGGTACTCAAGCCTCCAGGGCCTTGGGCTCTGAGCTCACCAGACAAGTGGAGGGGGGCAGAGGGCAGGCATGGGGTGTGGGGGTAGAGTGCAGCCATGGCAGGGGGGCGGGGAGAGGAGAGCCACGGGGGGGGGGCACTCGGGG